AAAAAGAATTATCTATGTGAGATCAAATTGACAACAGCAGCTCAAAAGGTTTGATGGGAAGCCTAGGGGGCAGTGAGTTGAAGATAATGGTGATGGAATAATTTGGAAAAGGATAGTGTGAATAGCAGCACAACTGGAAGAATGCAATCGATGTCACTGAATTGTACACACAGAAACTTTTTAAACGGTGTAACTTTGGCTATGTATATTTTCACCAATAAAAAGGCCCTCTAAGGTCGAGAAGGGAGAGTGTTGACATGTCATGGTGTTGTTAACCAGTATCAGAAAACAATATGTGTACTGACTGTTTAAAGAGAGTTCTGTAAACCTTCATCTAAAGTACAATAAAAAAAAAATTAAAAAAAAAAAATCCTTACAACTGGACCAATAAGCAATATCATGATAAAAGGAGAAATATTGAAGTTGTCAAGGATTTCATTTTATTTGGATCCACAATCAATTCCATGGAAGCATCAGTCAGGAAATCAAACGATGTACTACATTGGGCAAATCTGCTGCAAAGGACCTCTTTAAAGTGTTGAAAAGCAAAGATGTCACTTTGAGAAATAAGGTGCGCCTGACCCAAGCCATGGTATTTTTAATTGCCTCATATGCATGCAAAAGCTAGACAACGAATAAGGGAGACCGAAGAAGAACTGATGCATTTGAATGATGATTTTGGCGAACAATACTAAATATACCATGGACTGCCAGAAGAATGAACAAATCTGTCTTGAAAGAAGTACAGCCAGAACTCTCCTTAGAAGCGAGGACGGCAAAACTGCATCTCATGTATTTTGGACATGTTATCAGGAAGGACCAGTCTCTGAAGAAGGACATCATGCTTGGTAAGGCGGAGGGTCAGTGAAAAAGAGAAAGACCCTCAACAAGATGGACTGACAAAGTGGCTGCAACAATGGGCTCAAACACAGCAACAACTGTGAGGATGGCACAAGACCAGACAGTGTTTCGTTCTGTTGTACATAGGGCCCCGTGAGTCAGAACTGACTCAATGGCACCTAACGACAACACCATGGTCACCCTACCCATTAGACCTCAGTTTCTTTTCATTCTGAAAACTACATTTTATGATAATATCCTCTTATGAGTATTGTAACTCTCTCGGTATTAAACAAAGATTAAACCAGTGGCAAAAAACCAAAACACCAAACCCGTTGCCATCGAGTTGATTCTGACTCACAGCGACCCTACAGGACAGAGCAGAACTGCCCCACAGGGTTTCCAAGGAGAGGCTTGTGGATTCAAACTGCCGACCTTTTGGTTAGCATCCGAGCTCTTAATCACTGCTAAACCAGCGCCAGGTCCCTTAATTCTTGGTTGAATCAAAGCCCAAAGGGTCTGTGTGCATGTGCGTGCGTGGGCGTGTGTGTGTGTATACTTTTTTGTTGTTGTTGTGCCAGTGATGCTGCACCTTCCAAAATGGGAAAGAGGATCTTAAAGTTGGCACTTCCTGCTAAAATTAAGCTCTGCTAATTTTAAAATAGCTCCTGAATACGAAAATAACCAACAAGTACATTATACTACTTTCTGTAAATTTTAAAAGTGAACATTAAAGTCCTCTCACGCCATATTTTAATGAAATACATATATTTCCTGTTGCCCCTGTGATGTACCTTGGCAATTGGGTTCTTCTTGGACAAATCCTCTCCTTCCCGAAGAGCCACTGGAGCTGTGATCCAGGTCCGCTTTTGCCGCACTAAGTGAGTACGTTTAGGAAGCAGTTTATTTTCATTTCTTGTGTTTAAGGTCTGCAACAATCAAATATTGAAAAAAAAATTTAAGTATCAGAAAACTCAATCAAGGGATTGTTTCCAAGCCAGTAAAGCAGGAGGGTTTTGTTTTTAACTGTAAGAAAATACTCCCCAGAGTAAAGAATTAAAAAAGTTAAAGAGTAACTTAGTGATTTTATAAATTGGCAAATTAAAAATAGTATACCCATCTGAGAAAATTTTTTTAATTAACTGAAAATGAAGTTTCATTTTTATGTGGTGCTTTGTAATTTAAAAATAAATTACTAAAGGTTTTAAAATGAAACCTTAGTAACTTATGACATATATTTGACTAAAACTAGTAGAACTGCCAGCTAATGAATTCATTGAGTTAAAGATTGGGTAAAGGATTAAATTTCCCTTCTCCTGTATCAAGAACCTGAACTGGAAAACTATTCTGTAAATATTCAGTTGGGTTTTAATAGGTGAATATATATATAAATTTAAATTTTTTTGATCCAGGGAAAATTTCAACACAGCATACCTAGTATCTTAAGATCAGCAATGATTATGACACTAGGTTGATCATTTTGTTGCTCTACGTAACATGTATTTTATTACAAAATATTTACATTGGTTATCGCTAGGTTAATGATGTCTTTTCCTTCTTTTTACTTGAAAAAATGTTTATAACTTAAAAAAATTTAATTAAAAACTTATAATATTAAAGTTTATAATGTAAAAACGTAAAACCACCTTCTACGTTGTCACACTTCACAAAATAATCACTGGTAATAGCTTTAAGAATATCTTTTATGATCGTTTTTTGGGCACACCGTTGTGCATTTGTAATAATTTTTTTTCCCCTATAAAAATGGACTTACCCCATACACCTCATTTTGTCCCTTGACTGTTCATTCTATACCTTATCATGGACATTCTTCCATATGCCACAAACGGTTTTACTTTTCTTCTATCGACAGTCATTCAGATTGTCAAAGAATGTGCTGATTTTAACATCCCCAAGTATATGTTCATGTGCACTGTTTGAATGAGGACAGCTGGGTCTAAGGGAGTGGGCATTTTTAATCTGGAAAGACACAGCCAAATTGTCTTTCATGAAATTAAGCCCTGAGTCCAAAAGACAGAAATAAGCCCCTTAGTTCCTTACCTCTAAATGAAGTCCATTTCCAAAGGTAAAGCAGATCTGTAAAATAAAATAATTTGGCATTTAATACAGTTTATCACCAGATTCCGTTTAAATATACTGTTAAGGAACGACCTATCACTTATGGTATTATAGACATTAACAACAACAAAAAAAGATAAATCACCACTATCTTCCTTTGTTAAAAGGAAACAAGTTTTAGTTTTCCCCATGCCTCCCTCCAACACCAGGACCAGAGGAAAGAATCTACATTCTCCTTGATCCACACTGCCTCCTCCTGAAAACTCAGAAAAACAAGTATCTTCCCAAACAAATAGCAACAACAACAAAAAACAAAATCTCTCCCCTTAAAATCTTAGCCATTCCCTAATCCTTTTCTCTTCCCCCTATGGTTTTCATCTATTGCGCATGAATTCATTATAATCTCCTTCAGTTTGTATTTTTGCAGTCTTCTTTGCTTTTTCCCATCTCTGCATCTCAGGATACATGGACCCATGAAATCTAGTTGGACCCATGAGGATATACACACCCTAAAGCACATCATTTGGATGTTCCCTTAAGACTCTATCTCATGAACACCTGCTTAATTTAGACCAGTGGTTCTCAACCTTTTGTCCCCACGCCTCACCCCTGGGGACATCTGGTAATGTCTGGAGACATTTTTGTTGTCACAACTGGAGATGGTGAGGGTGATTGCTACCGGTATCTAGTGAGTAGAGACCAGGGATGCTGCTCAGCATCCTACAATGCATAGGACACCCTCCCCACATCCCTACAAAGTGTGTGTATTAGGCTTTCCCTAACACTTTGAAATCTCTTTCACTTTCTCCACATCCCTTTGGAGACTTCCTTCAGGGTCCATCCTATCTATGGATCCTTCACCTTTTCCTTCTTCCTCCTCCTCATCAGCACATGTTCTTGCCTCTATCTTCCCAAAGAGAAACTCAAGAAGTGAATGTTCAGTCTCTAGCTTGAACTTCTCAGGGGCAGATGAACAACCATCACCAATTTTCCATTTTATGGACAGACGTGTTATTTCTTCCTCATCCTGTTAGAAGTTTACCTGGTTACCATTGACCTGAGATGTGTCTAAACAAAGTTATGCTCCCCAAGCTTATGTATTTTCAAGGGTAGCATGGAATGAAAAACAACAGAAAGCACTGCTGAGATGGATTACTTTCATCCGTGTGTTTCCCGAATTTTTGAAAAGAAAGGTCAGTGACTGGATCCAAGATTACTCAGTATCATATCATCAGGGAGCATTCTTAAAATTTAATATATTCCTTGTCCAGCCCCCTAACCAGCAGTCTCTTTGCTTTGGTGCAAGCTGTATTAGACTGAACATTTACCACTTTTATTCTTCACTAGAAATCTCAGTGGGCCTAGCAAAAGGATATAATGTTGTTGTTGTTTTAGGTGCCGTAGAGTCGGTTCCAACTTATAGCAACCCTACGTACAAAAGAATGAAACACAGTCTGGTCCTGTGCCATCCTCAAAATCGTTGCTATGTTTGAGCCCATGGTTGCAGTCACTGTGTCAATCCATCTTGTTGAGGGTCTTCGTCTTTTTCATCGACCCTCTACTTTACCAAGTATGATGTCCTTCTCCAGGGACTGGTCCCTCCTGATAACATGTCCAAAGTGCGTGAGATGAAGTCTCACTATCCTTGCTTCTAAGGCGCATTCTGACTGTACTTCTTCCAAGACAGATTTGTCTGTTCTGCTGGCTGTTGTTGTAAGGTGCCATCGAATCAGTTCCAACTCATAGTGACCCTACATACAACAGAACAAAACACTGCCGGGTCCTACACCATCCTCAAAATCATTGTTATGCTTGAGCCCACTGTTGCAGCCACTGTGTCAATCCATCTCATTAAGGGTCTTCCTCTTTTTTGCTGACCCTCTGCTTTACTGAAGCAGTCCATGGTATATTTAATACTCTTCGCCAACACTATAAAGACATCAATTCTTCAGTCTTTCTTACTCATTGTCCATCTTTGGCATGCACATGAGGTATCTTAGTTATCTAATGTGCTATAACAGAAATACCACAAGTGGACGGCTTTAACAAAGAGAAATTTATTCTCTCACAGCCTAGGAGGCTAGAAGTCTGAACTCAGGGTACCACCTCCAGGAGAAGGCTTTCTCTGTCAGCTCTGGGGGAAGGTCCTGGTCATCAGTCTTCCCCAGTCGAGGAGCTTCTCAGTGCAGGAATCCCGGGTCCAAAGGATGCACTGTTCTCCTGCTCTTGTTTCCTGGTAGTATGAGGTCCCTATGTCTCTCTGCTGGCTTCTCTCTTTTATATTTCAAAGGAGATTGACTTAAGACACAATCTAATCTTGTAGATTGAGTCCTGCCTCATTAATATAATTGCCATTAATCCCACTTCATTAACAACGTAAAGGTAGGATTTACAATACATAGGAAAATCACGTCAGATGACAAAATGGTAGATAATCACACAATACTGGGAATCATGGACTAGCCAAGTTGACACATATTTTTTGGGGGGACACAATTCGATTCATAACGCATGATGCACCTTAATCCTCAAACTGACATCTTTGCTTTTTAACACTTTAAAGAGGTCTTTTGCAGGAAATTTTCCCAATGCAATGCATCGTTTGATTTCTTGACTGCTGCTTCCATGGGCATTACTGTGGATCCAAGTAGAATGAAATCCTTGACAACTTCAATCTTTTCTTCATTTACCATGATGTTGCTTATTGGTCCAGTTGTGAGAATTTTCATCTTCTTTATGTTGAGGTGCAATCCATACTGAAGCCTGTAGTCTTTCATCTTCATCAGTAAGTGCTTCAAGCCTTCTTCACTTTCAGCAAGCCAGGCTGTGTCATCTGCATATTGTAGGTTGTTAATGAGTCTTCCTCCAATCCTGATGCTGCATTCTTCTTCATATAGTCCAATTTCTCAGATTATTTGCTTACCATATACATTGAATGAGTACAGTGAAAGGATACAACTTTGACGTATAGCTTTCCTAACGTTAAACTATGCAGTATCCCCTTGTTCTCTTCGAACGACTGCCTCTTGGTCTATGTACAGGTTCCACATGAGCACAATTAAGTGTTCTGGAATTCTCATTCTTTGCAATGTTATCCATAGTTTGTTATGATCCACAGAGTTGAATGCCTTTGCATAGTCAATAAAACACAGATAAACATCTTTCTGGTATTCCCTGCTTTCAGTCAAGATCCATCTGACATCAGCAATGATATCCCTCGTTCCATGTCCTCTTCTGAATCTGGCTTGTTCTGCAGTTCCCTGTCGATGTACTGCTGCAACCGCTTTTGAATGATCTTCAGCAAAATTTTACTTGTGTGATATTAATGGAGCCCTGGTGGCGTAGTCGTTAAGAGCCTGGCTGCTAACCAAAAGGTTGGCAGTTCGAATCCACCAGCCACTCCTTGGAAAAATCTATGGGGGCAGATCTACTCTGTCTTTACAGGGTCACTGTGAGTCGAAATCAACTTGATGGCAATGGGTTTGATTTTTTTTTTTTTTGGTACTGGTGATGTTAATGATATTGTTCGATGACTTCCGCATTCTGTTGTATCACCTTTCTTTGGAATGGGCACAAATATGGATCTCTTCCAGTCGGATGACCAGGTAGCTGTCTTCCAAATTTCTTGACATAGATGAGTGAGCACCTCCAGCACTGCATCCATTTGTTAAACATCTCAATTGGTATTCCATCAATTCCTGGAGTCTTGTTTTTCGCCATTCCCTTCAGCGCAGCTTGGAATTCTTCCTTCGGTACCATTAGTTCTTGATCATGTGCTACCTCCTGAAATGGTTGACATTGACCAGTTCTTTTTGGTACATTGACTGTGTATTCCTTCCATCTTTTGATGTTTCCTGCATAGTTCAATATTTTGCCCATAAAACCAAACCCATTGCCATCGAGTTGATTCCGACTCCTAGCGACCCTATAGAATCCTTCAATAGCATAACCTGAGGCTTGAATTTTTTCTTTAGTTCTTTCAGCTTAAGAAATGCCAAGCATGTTCTTATATAATAATTATGTGTCATTTTAAGTAAATATTATTATTCTGTTCAAGTATCATGTGTTTCACTAGGATATAAACAAGAGAGGCAATCTATAGTCCTCAAATGCAAAGTTAACTCTTCGTAACAGTATCTTCATTTATTTTTATTGGAATTTACTTTCTAGATGTTATTTACTAAGAAATGACAGAAATCACATGGTTATAACACAGTGTTTCCTAAACTTCAATGTGTACTTTGTTTACTGGGGATCTTGTTAAAATGAAGATGCCAATGCTTTTAGAAGTCAGCATAATGGCCACTTATGAGAAAGGACTTGAATGGAGTACCAAGGGGTGTCCAGGGTGCTGGTAAACTTTTGTTTCTTGATCTGGTTGCTGGTTACGCGTATTCGGTTTGCTAAAATTCAATATGCACTGTACACTTGTGAAATGTGTGCTTTTCTGTATGCACATTATACTAAAGAATTAAAAAACACTGATGTGCTGAGGCTGCTATGTAATCCAGGTAACACAGCTCTGCCATATGTATGTCCACAGCATCTATAACAGTTGTCACAACTGGAGATGGTGGGGCGACTGCTATGGGCATCTAGTGGGTAGAGATCACTGTC